CTCAAATGGCATCGCTTCAGCAGGAATATCTTAAGCAAAAACTCAGACAACCACTAGACTTTCCCTGAAATGTCATTGGTACCAAACCCTTTTGATTCCACAACAGCATGGCTACAACCTTTTCCCCTTTCCCAAAAATTAGCCAACCGGTCTCACCTCATATACTTCTGGTGCTGTTCAAGCTTTTGGCAATACTGAACAGTTATATGCCAAGCTCCGTAAAGAACGTGATGAAAAGATCAAGCTGGAACGAGACCAAAGAAGCGAGAAAAGTTTCTTAGATCGCGACCCATCCGCTGATATTCCTGACTCTTTCTCTTCCAGTCACTCGATTTCCATTCCTAAGCCTCTTGTCCTTTATCTAAGGATAAGGCTCCAATGCACATAATGATGATGGAAGACCGCCAACCTTCTGCTAATCCTAACTCTTCAGAAAATCCCGTCTTTCCAATTTTATGGCTTTTTTGCGATACATGGCAGAAAGCAACGTCTTGCCGCCTCGGGTTGCACTATCCTTATCGTTTGAGGTGATATTACACATCCAGAGGTTGAACTTAAGCACTGGACTCCTCTTCAGCTTTATCACGTTTATGCTCTCATAATGACTAGCTTTAGTGGGATTGATATCTTCGCTCTGATGAATGGAAGACGGATAAAGAAATCCGAATTCTTCCATAATGGATGAGCACATTTAGTGAGAAAACAGCAGAGAATCTGCGCAAGAGCGGGAATAGCTGGGCCTTGATCTGCTCAATAGGATTGCCTTCAATCTGGAATAAATTAGGCTGTGTGGTCCAGGATTGGAAAAACATCTTGTACCGAACACCATCAGAAGGATTCTAAGTTTATTGAGTTTAGAATAAACATCAAAACCTAGAACCATGTCTTTATGGTAGATCGAATCAAGAACTTATGAAGTGAAAAATCCTGGGAGAATAAAATATATGGGTTTGCTAATCAGATGAGTAGTGAAATGCTCACTATTAGCATGAGATAGTAAGGATACATTGAGAGATTTGCCTGTAAAATAGCATGCGGCATGGATAGTGAAGGATGATGTTGTAGGATGGGTATGGATGGGAAGTCCCAGATATCAAAAAATGCTATGATGAAGGGCTGGAGTATTGGGGGAAGATCGAACTTTGCGTAGTATGTGATATGAGAAGGCTAATGATGGAAGGGATTGTGGTGCTTGTGGATATGGTATAAATAGTGACAATCACTTACTAGAGGACTCAGTATCAGTGGCTGCAAACTGGAAAATAGTGTCTGAAGTGGGTTTGTCATCCATGGAAAACCAACTTTCAACATATCACTCAGAAAAATCATATCTGTGAGCTAAGAAAGTTGTTGCATCATTTTGACTGATGCTTGGCTGTTTGGACAATTTTTGGCAAAATGACCCAAGCGTTTGCACAAATAACACCGATTTGAATGTTTTCCTTTGCGTTTCCTTTTTCGACGAAGAAACTTGCGGTACTTGAAACGTCGAAATTTGCGTGCCTGGAGCATTAGGTGGAGAAAACTTGATGCGTCTGGAATGAAACTTTTTTTGGTAGGACAAGAACATGAGCGATCAGATTTACATTTAATGCAAGTCTGGTTGACAAACCTTTGTCAGCTGTTTAGAACGCTTCAATAATCGTCAAAAAATTGTTTTTGAGAACAGAGCTTTTCCAGAGCAAGAATAACAAACTGGTAAATTTCACCAAGAGAAGTGGATCCAGTTGTTTGTTCTGGGATTGCATAGCTTGGTTGCTTCATGACTTAGGGATTTAGGAATTGATGCCAAAAAGGCTGCTTCATATTAGGATCATCCATACCCTAAGTATATGATATGTTTGACCATTTCTTTGTAATGCTGTCAGATCTTTCTTTTTTAGAGAACAGCATTGCATCTTGAAATATTCCTCTGACTTGGTTTCATAAAGGTGAGGTAATCCACAGAATTCATCATACATGAGATACAGGGCTTGGTTGATATTTGGCATTTGGATGAACAAATTTGTCTATACATCCTAAAGACTTACACCAATCACGGAGAATGCCACCAAATTAGCTGTAAACTGCGTAAGGACAGTAGAGACTTGGGCATTAGGTTTCAGCATCTCAGCTTGTAACCAGGCCTGAAATATCTACATTCGAGTTCTCCATGTGTGGAGGAAGATCATCGACGGTAAAAGTATGGAGCTTTGCGAGGCTGTAAAAGAGTCACGTTCAGCCAGGAGTATGACGAGATTGTCGATACATAGGCGGAGAGTCTGGAATGGAATCATCACCTTCAAACATCTCATCATCGACCTTAGAAACAACAGTTGGTCTGGACGATTCAGGTTTATGGGTCATCAGTTGGGGATAAACATGATGATGTGATCAGAAGTATCACTGTCAGAGTCAAAGTCACTTTCAAAGGATTCAGCATCGAAGTATATCGGCTTCTGATTCTGTTTGGAAGGTAGATAGAGAATCTTGAGAAAGACCAACATATCAACATGGATTGACCAATTTTTCAAGCATTGAAGTTGGTAGAAAAACATGAGGGTGGTAGCATTTTCATCAATGGTACGAGTTCGAACAGGTCATCGAATTCAGGAGGTCCATCCAGATTAACCTTTTCAAAAATCTTTGTTTTACCTCCAGGTCTTGATATCATATTTCCAGAAGAATTATTATGGTTCTTTTGGTATGTTACACCAATACCACATTGTCATTCAATTCCCGATCATCATATGTTGAAAATAATTTCCCAATACCAGCGTAACCTCAACCCTGAATTTCTCCGATGGTTCAAAACCCTCGACAATGGAAATTTGTGTTTGTCACCAAACTTGCCGTACAAAAGGTCATATGTCTACCAAAATGGCATGGTCTATATTTGTTTTTCACAGACATCACTCTATCAGATCTGACAGCCTATATTTTTCACAGCATCAAGTCACATTTCATTGGTCCTATCCATATGACCTGTCCATAATATGTTTATCTCATGTTGAGACTAGATCTATTCAAAAAATCATTTTTGAAAAAATCAAATCATTCCAACTGCAATATGACCATCCTTCATGATGATGCTCCGTGGAAACTCTTTCCTCCAGACTACACTGAGAAATTACTCTGGTCATGTTCACTACTGCAGTACGGGAACTGGACTTTTGCTGTAGGTATGTGATATGAGAAGGCTAATAATATTTTAAATATATTTTTTGTATTGAATAATTAAAGAAATCAATAAAAAAAAAAAAGTATATATGAAATATATATTGTATTGTACATTCTTATTTGTTTCTGAATTTAGCTATTTGACCACTGGCTACAATCAAGTCGCTCTCTGGTAGCCCTTAAACATCAAATACAGATGGAGTGAGATCTCTTCGTTCCTCATCGTGCTTTCGCATGCCTCATACGTATGGCTACAGTACGGCCTACGCTTCTGATTGCTCCAGGACTCATTAATTTCTCCCAACCGTTCGATATATCATTCACGCAAATATGCTTATATTTATTGCGCACACAGTTCTGTACAAAAGCCCAGGACCCATCATGCTGGTAGGGAGGAGTCTTCTTAACTGTTCTTTAAACTGATCTCTACAGAAATAGATACGCTTGTGAATTTTTAACCAGCTACACTTAAACCAATGGCCCTCCAAGTCTAGTTTGTCATTCTCAGCGAGCTGTTTCCAATTTCAATAGTCCACCCATTCTTTAGAGTGCAATACACACGAGAGAAATTGATATCCAATTGTTCTCACCTCAGGGTCAGCAAACTTGCGCAAGATGCAGAAGTCACCCGCTCCATGTGTGCTTGTAAACATACTCTTGTGTATGCTTTGACCATCACGATCTATTGAATGTCTATAATTGTGAGAAAGGGGCGCTTAGTGAGCTCAAACGGTTCAAATACAACATTAAATATTAACAAAAATAACGTAATAGATGAAACGCCTCCAAAGAAAGCCACCATGCAGTCCAAATGAGAATCTATTTTTTGGTCATCAAATATGAAAATATCTACATTTTTCTTCTTCCTTGCTCTTCATTCAATAATTTCAAATCACTTCCAAGGTGCAATTTTGGGAAGCTAACTCAATTCTTTCTTCTTAAATTTAGGGACCTTAATGTTCTTTTAATCACTGCTACACCTTTGAGGCCACAGAATTTTACAGAGCTGGGATCATCAAAATATCTAGTATAATAACAAATCCCTAGGGTTAGATTGACTCTTATCTATTCTCCCATAACAAATTATAGTCTGTTTCATAAATATCACCTACGTATTCAAATGGACATATTTCATTCAATTTATTCATCAGCCAATAGTGTTGATTATATATTTAAGAAAACAATCCTATGGCCTAAAAGATCAGCATAAATGACATTGAAAACTACCACTCAAAGAAAAAACCCAAAAAAACATTAATAGTAATATCTCCAATTACACACACTCACACACAACAACACAGAGCATAGTATAAACACAGGATTCTTCGGAAACTAAAACCTTTCCAAAGACAACAATAGATCATGAAAAATCCATAATACAATACAATATTACATAAATCTACCTTGAAATGAATCAGAAGAACATTAGTACAATTAAAAAAAAAAAAAAAAAAACCCTGCACCGTGCCTATGCTGATATTCAAAAGTAGTACCAAATAACTATAATTTTAAATTAGATTTGCGAGTATAACATTGTTCATCGAGCCAAAATTGAGAAACAACAATGAACAAGATGTATCAATTAGCAATCGAACACAAAGACTTATCACAAGACTAAACCATTCAGAATCCAAACTGGGTTCTCCCGAAACGCAAAACCATCATTAGTCAAACCACAGAACCCGAAAACATGAACTTGATACAATTAAATTCAATTCAATTAAAGGCGATAACAATTGCGCAAAAAACTGAGTCTTTTCTAGACCAAATTCTTCTCTAATATCGAAAGATAGGAAAAGAGAAATCGATAAGCATGATTTCAGATCAGAAATCACAATGAGAGAAAAAAAAAAAAAAATCTTTAACGCCTCGAAGATATGAGTCTGCAAATAGTGATTCGACGATATTAATGAAGTGGAAAAGAAAGGTCAAGTCACTGGGGTTTCCTTATACCTTCTGCAATGTTTTGGTGCTGTACATTCAAGACAAGTTGTCCCTCGGTTTGGTATGAGTTGGCGTAGGTACAACCTTGTGATCCTTGATGAAATAAAACTATCAGCTAACATTTCAATGTCCAAAAAAAAAAAAAAAAAAAAAAAAAACTACAAAGGAAAGCACACTCTTAACAATGAGTTAACTAAAAATTTAAAACACTTAAAAAGAAATCTGCATCCCCCAGTAACTCAGCCATCTGTTCATATCCGATGTTTACACCAGTCTCATCGAACAACACAACCTGCAATTACATGAACAAAAACAAAACTTGTTACCAAAAAACAACAGCTTTTAGAAGTAGAAAACAACAAAGTTTGAGACCATACCCAATCATCAGAGCTGATAAGGTTCACCACCGCCGCATCCTCATCCTCATCCTCATCCTCAACCCTGAGCCTTCACATCACTAAAATTCAAAAAATTTAAATTTTGAATTAAAGAAGCACAAGAAAAGCAGGCGTAACTTAAACACCGTGCGTTTTTAGGATTGGATCGAACTTGAGCGTCATCAACACTACAATAATGTTTGAGCTTTCCCAACATACTCCTCCACTAATAACTGCACAACAGTTGACCTCTTTTTCCCAACCGTTAAAATTCGTATGGGCAATGCTCTCTGCTCAAAATAATATCAAATCAAACAACTCGGTGGAGAAAATCCAGTCGTGGTGGCGGTTTTTGGGAACGAACATGAGAGAAACTCGAGGTGAATCATTGGCTGGACGGGTGAGTCGAGAACGGCGACTAGGAGGAGGTGGTAGTGATGAGAGAAGGGGTTTGGGAATTGTGAAGGTGATGAAGCGTTTATGGTGGGAAAATGAGTGGTTTGCTACGTGGAAGAACTCTGAATCAACGAAATCACGACTTTTACAAAATGGATGGAAAATTTATAAAAATAAAATGAAATTGCATGTGTAATTAAAAAATTAAACATTAAATAGATGATTATATGTTTCCATTTTCTAATATTATTTGAGTGTTTCATATCAAAACTCATTTTTATGTACATTACGAGAATATAAAATCAAACATTTTATTATCATTTTTGGAAACAAAAATATGAAATACAATATGCCCAATCCATCTAGTAACTAATTTGGTTGTAAATTAATTCATTTTATCCCATTATCTTACATTTGCGGAAATGTCTAATCAATTACCACATGGGTTGAGATTCCCGTAATATTAGTGATAGCAAAAATGAGAATGACATCGGCTGGATATCGTGAAGCGAAAATTCTGATAACACATTATTTTATTTTTATTAGAAAGAAAGATTACAAGCAAAGTAGTGATAAATGATTTGAATGTATATAGGAAGTTGCGAAGAAAGTAGTAAATTGCATGAATTATATATATACAACAAATTTTGACAAGTAAACACATGAAATACATTTGAGTTTATTTTATTTTCAATTTATTATGGCGTTGAGCTTGAGCAAGTCACCTGACCTGAAACCGAAATAGCTTTCTTCAAACCCTCTGTAAGATTGGACCAGCCAACGAGCAGATGAGGGCTTTGCCCAGCTCCATTTTCACCCTTCTGGGTAAGTAAGTAAATAAAAATTAAGTCATGTATCTTGAACAAGCAAGCAATAAAGCCAGAAATATCCCAAGTTCATTTTGGTTATTAGCGATTGTGAGTTATGATAGATCCATCACCCATCAGAGCATTCATATTTGCGCAGGAAAATATGAAACTACTTGAAGGACAAGACTTTTACGCGCAGCTACTTCCAGCAGGATTGTTTATCAGAAACTAAGGCAAAGAAACTGCAAATTCATAACTAGTATGGACAAGCAAATATGGGAAAACAAAGTTGCAAGCCCAAGTATCTGCATTAGGAAACTTTTCTTTCGGAACCTATTTAGCGAACTCACATTCAAAATGGAACCCTAACCGAAACTTACACTATTTGAAAGTAGTAATTAGTTATAAGGATTCGAACCACCCTGTGAAAGCAAACCAAAAGCCTGATCACTTGATTAAACACTTTGAGTTTCGCATTAGCAACCTTTAACAAGACAATCCTAACTAATCCAATACCACTCAAAAACCTTGTCGCTCTTTTTCACACAAATTTAAAGATTTCCTACTTTTCAAACCCATAGTAACTACTGTTAACTAATTCAATAACTTCAAACTTTCAGTACAACATGTACTTGGTCCGAAGCAATCAAACCCTAGACCTCGTGAGAGCAAACCATGAAGCTGATGGCTTGACTGACCCTCAAGTTCGGGATTAGCAACCTTTACAAGATACTTCTAACGAATCCAGTACTCATTGAGAATCTTGTCCCTCTATTTAACACAAGTCTTCAATAACTTTCAAACTTATAGTAACCGTCATTAACTAATTCAACATTCTTTATTAGATTAGTAACTTAAAAAAAAAAAAAAAAAAAATCATAATCAATGCCAAATTATACAAGCAAAACCACCAATAAGCAAGCCAATACCACGAAACACAAACTTGAATCACAAAAATTCCAAGCAACAACAATCAAACAACAAAACGAACGAAAAGAAACATACCCAAACCAACAAAATTACTCAAACATTTACACTGTGACTGCCGCGCAATTCACAATCGTCGACCCCTCAGGAACCTTAAGCACCACATTACACCACAAAATCCTTCCCCACAACTCCCCACCCTCACCCCTCTCCACATCAATTTCAGCACACCAAACCTCGACCTCACTTCCTCCTCTCCCCTCCCACACCACCACTAACTTGCCCCCTACATTCGCCATCGTTGCGCCGCACAAAAACCGCGGCAATGACAAACCCTTCTTCACCCCCTTCCCTCCCACCACCCCCTTAACCTCCCGCCACACACCGCTATCAAAACCCCTAATTTTCCCCAAATAATCATAGCAATACAACACTCCATCCACTACACACCCCCTCCCTCTCCATCCCAAATCCAATTCACTCTCCACACTCTCCCAACTCATCTCTTTGGGATCAAACTTCACCCCACCTCTATCAGCCATTGCATAAACTTTGCCCCCTATTACAACACTTGCGTGCATCCATTTGTCACGCACATCACACTCAGTGTGAACCACAGGCTGCCATGTGTCAGTTTTCGGGTCGAAAACTTCTGCCCAGTTTCTGCTTTTTGACCACGTGTCCACTAAACACCCGCCGAGGACATACACTTTACCGTCCACCACTCCGGCCGCCGGGAACTCGCGCGCCACGCGCATGCTGGGGGCTCTTTCCCACGTGTTTAGCCGGCAGTCGAGGGCCCACACGTGCGAGGACGGCACATCGTCGACGGACCCCCCGATGAGGTAGAAAATGTGACCGACGACGGCGACAGCGGAGCCGACGAGAGGCGGGGATGGGAGTGGGGGGAGGGGGGCGAGGAGAGGTTGCTGACGGTGGGGGGACTGGTGGAGCGTATAGAAGAGGAGGGAGCGCGTGGAGGGGACGCGGAGGGCGAGGCAGAGGGACGGCTGGGAGGAGTTGAGGATGGCGCGTGTGGTGTAGAGGAGAGGGGAGGAGAGGAGGGCGCGTATGGATTTGGAGACGGAGGCGAGAATTGGGTGGAGAGAGCGGGGGATTCGAGCTAGGATGTTTATAGCGACGTCGTTTGGGAGGGAGGGGATTAGGGTTTCTTGCGGTGGCTGTGCGGTGGACATTGCGGTGGTTGGTTGGCTGTGGATTGAGTGAGTAGCTTAACTTGAGAAGTTGAAAGTTTCGGTATAAGTTGAGTTTTTCGTTGTGGGCTCTTTATTTGGGCGTAGCCCAAGCCCAATACTTATTATTTTGAACAAATTAAAACAACGATCCAAAGGAAACGGAAAAGTAATACTATACATTTAAAGTCATTTTACCATATCAACCCTTCAATAATACAAAAACATCACTTCAAAGTTCAAACGAGAAATTTAAAATATCGTCATTTAAAACATATAATATTATATAAACGAATATATATATATAATTATTTTGGACAATGATTTATGTTTTAGAGTTGTTATCATATCTTTTACCGTATGAGTACGTAATAGCTTGTTAGCATGGATACCAGCTTGTTAGCATGGATGCCTTCTTGTTGAAGCCAAAATATTTTTAGTTTTTCAAATATGTTTAGAGCTTCATAATACAAAACTTTTTATATTTTCGTACTATTATCCCTATGATTATTTCCTTTCTCTTCTTGTATAATTGTAACAATGATTTCTCATTTGGTTGAAACATATACGATTTGTTGCTCATTTGGATAATCGAAGAAAATATTAATATACATTCGATTAGTGTAGTGAAGTTGTCGAATCTGATCACTCAATTCTATAGTGACTATTTTATTCTCTTCATCCACTTCATTTGTAATTTACAATTCATTAACATTAGTTGTCCTAATTTTGCAGCGTTTAAAACTATTGACAATTGTCTGCGGCTTCACATTAATTAACCATGCATCAACTACATTTACAGTTTCATCAATGACACTTATTTTTGCTGGTTTTAAGAAACTATCTTTTATCCGTTTTAAAAGCAGACAATTGAAGCGCTGAATTGAAATCATAATATTACTAAACTATGAATTGAAATCCTAATACTGTACTACTAAAACATGGATTATAAAATAAGAAACCAAAATTATAATTTTTGTAACTACATTTTCATTAAGTTATAACCTTCTTATAATAATAAAATTACTTAGTCCCACCATTATGACTATAAAGAGATTTTACTCTATATATATATATATATATATATATATATAAGAAGTAAAATTAAGTGATGTTAATATATATTTAGGAGATCAAGAGCATCTTCAAATAGTTTTCATTTGAGATGAAATGAAAAGAGTAATATTACACATTTTAAGTTGTTTCCTTACATCTATTTATTGTATATGTCTTATTTTATAAGATAATATATCCTGAGATGATATCAAAACTTGAGATTTTATTTGAATGAAAATTACAGAAAACAGGACTTAAAGTGAAACGATGCAAATATAAATTTAGAAAGGTCTCGAGCATCTTTGAGATTCAAATAGAATTTTTTTGTGGAACGAACGTGATTCGTCATCTATTTAAAATTAAAAATAAAAATATACCATTTAAAATCCAAAAATTCGAAATAGTTATTGGGCTTGGGCTAAGACTGAAATAGAATTTAAGGACTCATTGGCAGGTGTATATTAGTTTTTTATTATCAAAATAATTCCTTGAATCAACCGTGACATCCCACATCATTATATAAGATTTGGAGTCATTAGCAAAATGTAGATGCATTTTGGTGAAACTTAATGGGATGACTTCGTGAGAAGAATTTGTCATATCTCACATAGATATCACTAGCGAATGAGCCTGTTCTTTAGAGGACATGAGTTTCGTAAATTGTCTTACATAACCGACAAAATCTATTTGATTGGACCGTTGTTTGAGCCTGTGACTGAGCCTTTGTAACTTTTCAGCCAATAAACGACATGGTCCCAACCAAGGTTTCGCGAAATACCAAGTGCCCACCCCTGGTTTCATAAATTTCAGATTCACACCCTTAAACTAACTGAAGATAAGTTTAATATAACGGTGAGAGGGTAAAATGGTCATTTGGCAGGAGAACCAAAAAACTCTCTCACCTCAATCTCTTCATCTTCTGCTTTCTTACCGGCCCTTTTTCGGTCCTTTCCGGTGATTGTGTCTGCCCAGCCACTGGTCGGACTTGCCTTGCCCAGATCTAGCCGTGATTGTCCATCTCCTTCTTGAATTTCTCCATTTTTTTCTTCTTCCCTGCCTGACTTTTGCCATTTCCCCATTGATTCCGGCAAAGAAAATTCCTCCCGTCACCGCCATTCACCTCACTGATCTCCCCTCACAGAAGCCCCTTCCATTCTTGACAGTTGTTTGGTAGTCGTCCGTCACTTCATCATCTCTTCGCGCGACAGCTAGGTTTGGGTTGACTTGGAGCCTTCTTTTGGAGTTCGATTTGCTGGATTTTTGTTGTGTTTTGATTTGTTGATGGGTTGAGGGTTTTTTCTGGCTATTTTTTCCACCGTCGACCGTTGATTTTCCTTACCACTGCCGTCACCCACCACCTGCTTGAAGTATTGCCCTAACTAACTCCCAGCCCCAGGTAATATTTACCAATTCGTGGATACGGATGAGTTTGAAGAAAAATATGAAGATGGAGAAATCATCCTGCCGGTTGTAATTGTTGGGAGAGATTTAAGTCGAGTTTAGAATTCAATTTTAATAATGACTGTTTCTTTCGAAACATGACCTTTAATTTGTTCATTACTATTATTTATTTAGAGAAATAAGAATTTCAAGTATCCTATAATTCTTATTAATTTATTGTGAAAGGAAACCAAAAAATTATTTGGAATGACTAGAAACAGAATTGTTCATGGCAGTCCATGGGGTTTGGGTTTTCTTCTTCTTTTGGTTTGGTTTATTGCGTTTCTTGGCGTGAAGGTTACTAATTATCTGTTTAATTAGTTTTTAGTTTAAATTTATGCTGCAGCTTACAAGTTGTTCATAATGTGATTGAATATTTACTAAATTTCAGAAAACAAAATAGTGTTCAGTATTGGCTGGGTGGCAGCAGTGGCTAGGTGGCGGTGGTGGTGGTGGCAACAGTGGCAGTGGCAATGGTTGGGTTGGCTGGAGAGGGGAAGAATGTGAAGATTGAAGAAGAGGGTCTTATTAAAATAATTAAGAGAGTTATTTTCTAATTCTACTAATTTGGGGGTTAAAAGTAATTTATTAATTTATTTGTCAAGGGTAGTATGGTAATAGTACTCTCTACTCTTGTGTCATAATCTAACAATTGCTAACATTGTTGGTTTTTGGGTGGAAATCTGGAATTTATGAAACCATGGCGGGCAATGTAATTTCGCGAAACTTTGGGTGGGTACATAACGTTTACTCTTTTACAGCTGATGAAGGTGACTCTTTGTAATTTCATGGCGGCATGTGACAATTCCTAACATTCTGCAATAGTGCCCACCATGTTTATTTCTGCATGCTTAATTTACAAGCTCTCATAATTTATATTTATCAGAAAATACAGCTAGCTATATCTCTGCCACCAGCCATGGCCACTTAAACACTACCATAGAAATTCGATTTCTTTATTTAATTATACATTAATCTTAATTTGGTACACACTTCATTTTACCATCAATTGGTGGTTCTCGTTTTAAGAAAGTAAAAGTTTTCCATTTTCTTTATATTTCTTTCTTTCATTTAACAACTAATATCATTTTTTTTCTTCTTAAATAATAATCTAGAAATTCTCTGATTTTGTTTTGTGAATCTAAACACGTTTGAAATTCTTATAAAACCTTATAATATTTGAGAAATGAGAAACATCGACATTACAGTAAGGAGATATCTACACCACTAAAAGGGAGAAATACATTGATGCCATTCTCGATGCTATATTATCCTTACATACATCCAATAAAAAAAATAGTAAACGACTTTTTCCCACCCAAATAATGTCTTAATGACACTGTCTCACCCACATTTTTAAAATACCATTTTATTATTTAAAGCACAATTTTATTAGTAATTTACTATTTAAAGCACAGTTTTGTTAGTAATTTCTGTTGTGAAGAAGGTAGGATGGTCAAAAGTCCCCTATTTATAATGTCATGATGGTCAATTAACAAAACCCCCATCTCCACCCAACTGATTGCTGGATTAGGCTAGATCCGGCTTGATTCTAGCATCACCGAGACCTCTCGACCCCACCATCAGATTCCTCACATCACCCACACCAAAACACTCTCACTCCCATGTCGTTGCTCCTTCCTATAGTCGGTCAACGGCCACTGCTCTTTTGCAACCCAATTAGTTGTTTGTGGAGTTCGATTGGCAGGACAAATTTATAGGAATTTGTTGTGTGTATTGAGAAGGTATTTTTTTTTTTTTTTTTGTGGTGGTTGTGTTTTGCTGGTGATTTTTCTGGTTTTCCACCATTCCCTAGCTTTCCGCCTCCCCACCCTAACGCACACCACTTGTCGACAATTTGCCCCAACCAAACCCAAGCCTTTCTAACATCCCACCCTACCTACTTGACTTTTTTTTCCCAACCGCCTTTTCCCTACACACAAGCCTAGGTGTGGTGTGTGTTGAAGTGCGTGCTCAAGCGTGTGCACATTGCTTGGCTTGGGAAGCAGCAAAAAATCTAGCTGTTTTTAGATGGGTGGTCGCAAAATGCGACTATCTTGTGGATGGCAATGGCAGGTCGCAGGTCCTGGCAGCAAACGACGAGATGGGAGGGCGAGTGGAGGCAGGGGTTTTGCTAAGTGGAGGGTGGGGGTTTGATTAGTGCTGTCAGGGAGAATTTCCTATTCAGATGCACCGAAAAGTGTCGCACAAAGGGAAAACGTGCGAAAGAGGCGTGGCTCTGTCGACGATAAGTGAGATTGTGGGTTAGGGTGATAGGCTTTTTTAAGGGATTTTCATTTTTACAATAAAAAATAATATTATATTAATATTTAAGAAGGACATTAATAATCTTATGATATACTCATATTTATCCTCCCAACTAAATATATTAATATAATATACTCTCCATTTTATTATAACCAACCAAATAATTCCCTAAATATTTTTAGTAATTTTAAGTTGATTTATCTTCTATTAATATAATATTTTTTCTTATAATAAAATATGATATGATCCAAACGCAGTTTAAAGGTCAAATGTCTTTTAAATGATCCTTTTTGTAATTTTTAAACAATGATTGAAAATAATAGTACTGCTAAACTATATTTTTGGTATTTTTTAATATTTTTATTGTGTCAAATACGTGAATACGTTATCCTATTATAAAATAAAGTGTCATTGAGTTGAGTTTGACTAAAATTCCAAACATCAAATATTATGGGGTATATGTTAAATACGGTTTGAAAAGCACAAGGTTGGATGGCCGAGTTGGTCAAGGCGCCAGATTAAGGTTCTGGTCCGAAAGGGCGTGGGTTCAAATCCCACTCTCAACAATGCTAAATTTTTTAGTCCCTGGGTCTTGTACTTAATTTATTTAATACCGTAAGTTTGAGAAGAATTACTTTCCCCCCTGAAAATTTGTTAAATACTCAAAATCCTCCTAAAATGGCCAATTTGTCTCTAAATTCCTACTTGATTTTTTTTGAAAATTTGACAAACGCTCATTTCCCCTCTTGAAAATTTGTTAAATACTCAAACCCCCAATGGCCATTCTGTCTCTAAAATTCCTCCTGGAATTTTTTATAAATACTCAAAGTACCTCCTACAATGGTAATTTGATATCTCAAAAATAATTCTCGACATTTAAATTTTGTTTATTATTTTACCAAGGGGAAATATTATTCGAGTCTATGTTTGTGTTAAAATTGATTAATTTTTTGAGTTCGGGAAGGAATCAAATAAATAAATTAATATTATGAAACGTAAAATAAGAAAATTTTATTGTCAAGGAGACAGATATCTTTCACATTTTACTTAAAAAAGTTAAAAAAAAAAAAAAAAAAACAAGAGCTCATCAAAAACTTCTAACGTTTGATCTTTTTTTTCATAGATGTAAAACAACTATTTAATCAGCAATAATTCTTCTTTATTGTAATCAAACAACACAATAATAATTAACAAGCAAGGCCGTCTCTACAACATTTGTGACCCTAGACAGGAGTTACTTTGGGGCCTCTAATAATATAAGCATATATTAATTTTATTTTATTTTTTTATTTTTTCTTTTTTTTTGCCTTTTGAGAAAAATCACTAACAGAGGTGGATAGCATCGACAGCTAACAAGTTAGGTTGGTGGGGGGGTTTTGGAGAGTAAATGTTAGAATGATGGGTGGTGAATGGGTGATTTCCAATGCCAAGATGATAAGAAAGACTTAGAAGTCACGGCCCAAAAGGTATCAGTGCTGCGATTCGCAGAGTAAACGGATGAGGTATATGAGGGGTTTTGGTGAGAGGGCTAAGGGGAGGAAGATGTGTGTCGGGAAAGGCCAATATGTTGGGTACATGTCGAAAAGCTGGAAATGGTTGTCGTGTGGTGGAGTTGGGTTGCGAGATTCATAAAAAATCAGCCAAATCAAGGGCTATCAAGGTTGGGAAATGATAAAATGATGATTTCGATTGATTTGGTGAGAAAATCGACCGAAATCAACTCCAAACCACTGGCGGCAGGAGAGGGCTAAAGATGATTTATGTATGTCAAATTTTGGGATTGAATTGGGAATGAGTAATTTGAGATATGTAAATGACTATTTTAGCCTTTCTTGTTAAAAGAGATTCAATGTGTTAATTTAAGGGTATAAATTGGAAATACGAAATTAGAGTACAAACTTGCTATTTTATCAAACTTTGGGTGAGAATTTACGTAAAAATTTTAAATAATTGAGCTTTTTTTGGCTTTTTTTGGGGGGCCCCTTGGCTTGATAAGAAATTATAAACCAATTTCATTTTGAAAGATATTAAAAAAAAAAAAAAATTATAAAATTGGCCCCATTTTTTGGGGCCCGAGGCAGGTGCCTCCCTGCCTACCCCTTAAGCCGGTCCTGTTAACGAGTTTTAGACATTAGTTTTTGTAGTCAATTAGCCTCGATCATACGAGCATTAAAACCTAAACACAACATAAGTTAATCTACTTTTTAAACTAAAATGAAAATAAGGGATTAAATTATTTGATGAGAGATATGTTAACTCTTAAACATGTATGTGAACTTGACACTAAAGTACCCACTTGGAATTGTTCATTTAGCTAGTTAAAAATATATCATTATCACTTCATATTTTACGTATTAGTCATTACCTTTTCAACTGTTTGGATTATGATTTATCAATAGTTATAAATCAGCGTTTGAAATTAAGTCAAAAAGTTAAGTTATTATAAGTTGACCCAATTTAAATTATGACTTTTTGGAAAATAAATCAAGTATTAATTGCAATAATTTGCTTATACATAATTAAAAAGGAAGACCTTGGAGGGTTTTTCTCTCTCTCTTCTTTTTTTTTTTCATTGAAAAAAAAAGCCGAAAACTCGGGTTCCAACCTAAAAACTTGAAGCTTTTGGCATAAATTTAAGAAATAAAATGTCAGGAAAGTATAGTCTGTGGGTTTCATACATATCAATGTATATAAAAAAAATGGAAAAGAAAGATGTTTTTTACTTTTTATTCATTACTTTATCACAATTTTTCATATTTGTTTAAGGAAAATAAGAAATGCTTTTTCATTTTTAGAAATGTTTTCAGAATACGCATTTCAAATTTTTTGAAACGGAATCTGGTATTTCCAATAATAAAATACTTTGAAAGTCTTGAACAGCAGGTTGAGATGGCCGAGTTGTCTAAGGCGCCAGATTAAGGTTCTGGTCCGAAAGGGCGTGGGTTCAAATCCCACTCTCAACATAATTGGTGTTTTTTTAGTCCCGAGGTTTTGTATTAAGATCATTTAAGCCCATTCTCACAACATTTATATAGGTACTCTGCGGATCAATTTCCTTCCTATAAATTGATAAAACACTCAAACCCCCCCTTACAATGGTCTACATCTCTTGTCCTCCCTCAATTTTGATAAACACTCAAACTCACCCCCATAAATTATAATGGTCATTTTTTGAAAACCCTAATAAGTTTTTTCAATCTGATTGGTAAATTAGTTGAACCCAAAGCTCCTAAGAAGTAATATACTTGCCCAAAAATTTCCAACAGTGAATCTAATTGTTTAATTTTGATTTAGTCCACACGATTTAACGACGGTTTGCAACATATTAAAATTTAAAGTAATTAAGTTTGAGATGGATTCCATTTCCTCCCTTAAAATTCGAGTAATACTTAAACTCCACCTTGCAATGATCATTTTGCCTCTTAAATTCCTCCAAATTTTTATAAATACTCAAACTCCCCTCTACAATGGTCATTTTTTTTTTCTTTCAACATAACACTAACACTTATCAATCCTATTTGTTTTCCATAGCTTCTAAAAAGTGACATACTCGCCCAATTTTCTAACACAAATCTATTGGTTAATTTTGTGTAGCCCATAGTTCTGAAAAGTGACAGTTTGTCCCGAATGTTTTTTTACTTGGGTCAAAATTGGAGTGATGTGTTACAATCTAAATCTTACAAATCAAATAACTAACAACTGATCCTGGCGCCCCAAACCCAACGACCTTATCTCTTCTTCATTCATTCTTCCTCTTGGCCACAAACAAAATCTTTCCCTGTAAGAGCAATCTCAAACTGTAACCCAAAAAATATAAAACAAAACAAAACAAAACAAAACAAATTTATTATTGTTCACCATGAACATGATTCTTCATCTCTCAAAGCCAGCTACATTGACTGCATTGCACCATCAATGTAAATATAAAAACTCCTTCAAGCTCCCACAAATCAAAGCTTCTTCATTTTCTGCTGCACCTGGGGTTGATCTCAACACCCTTCAATCTTCCGTCAGGAAGGTTTGTAATTTCTTCTCTCATCTTTTTATATAGAGCGCTCAATATTAGTGTTGAGTGTCGAATGGTTACTTAACATAATATCAGAGTAAGAGATTGTGAATCTGAGTTTCCTGCACGCCTTGTATCTGTGTTGTGTTGTAGAAAGACAGTAATGCAGTTAAGGAGGCGCTTGATCAGCTGAGTGAAGAGGGATGGGCCAAGAAATGGAGTTCTCAGCCGTATGTCTCGCGCCGTACGGTCAGTCTCAATTAAAAAGAGTATGAAGTTCTGGGAAACTGCCACTGAAACATTAGCAATCTTGCAAACCTTTTGCATACATGTACATCAATGATGTTTTGAATAACTATCTTAGTTCTGTGTCGAAATGTTCGAAAATTAGGTCGTTTGACTCTTGAATTTATCGTGAACCAGACATCTCTCCGCGAGCTGACATCTCTCGGAATAAAAAATGCAGAGAACCTCGCAATTCCTAGTGTCAGAAATGATGTAAGTACACTCCATCCGCGTAAAGTTATGTGACATTTTCTTGTTTTGATAGAATTTTATCGTTGAATTATCAGAGGGCTGTTCATATGTTTGATGGCTTTCAGTGATACAGGCAGCTTTTCTTTTCACAGTGGTGGGAACAACAGGATTTCTGGGTGTTCTTGCTGGCCAACTTCCTGGGGTAACTCTTATTTTTCTCTTCTTCCGAAAAACTGAGAATTCCCTCAACCATGTCACTGTTACTTTTAAAGTAACAGATATTAGAAATTTGCGACGATTTCTGATCTCTATTCACCTGTTATACTGTCTGTGTAGGACTGGGGGTTCTTTGTGCCATACTTAATCGGTAGCATTTCTCTGATAGTCTTGGCTGTGGGGAGCATTTCACCAGGGTAAAAAACATAAAATTTATGTTGTATCCTAGAGTCTTATATTTGATGTTTAAATTTCTAAGTTCTCTTAAATTGCTGCACAGGCTTCTTCAAGCTGCAATTCAAGGGTTTTCATCGTTTTTCCCGGACTATCAGGAGAGGGTCGCAAGACATGAGGCGGGGCATTTCTTAAGTACTCCCGTTATCTTCGACAATGCATCGAAACATGATGACCTGCCTCATTTGGTTGCTTTCTAACTAGATGATGTTCTCTTTCAATTGTAGTTGCCTATCTGCTTGGCCTTCCTATTCTGGGTTATTCTCTGGATATTGGGAAAGAGAATGTCAATCTTATCGATGAAAGGCTGGAAAAACTTATATATAGTGGGCAGCTTGATGCTAAGGAACTTGACAGGTATCCATTTGATTGCTTTGGCTACTTTCATACTATTCTGAAAAATGGTCTTTGAACTATGAATTTGTTCTATTCATATCCCAACCAGTGTGAGAAACTTAGTTTACAGGTCTACTCTACTTAATATTAGTGTCAAATCCTTTACCTAATAACTATCGATCTGTTGTAACTTTTCCCAGGTTGGCAGTTGTAGCAATGGCCGGACTTGCTGCAGAAGGTCTGCAATATGACAAAGTCATCGGTCAATCTGCAGATCTTTTCACTCTTCAGGTTTTCAAATTTCAACCATTCACTTAAGATCAAGCTTCTATCAGACATTACTTGATATCTCTTCAAAAACAAATTGACAATTTATTTTTACAGAGATTTATCAATAGAAGCAAACCACAGCTTAGCAAAGACCAGCAACAGAATCTTACCAGATGGGCTGTAAGTTCCAGTTCCTCAAAACTCATGGCTCTGCAAACTTGACATATGCTAATGTAGAATGCTCATAATTTATGCAGGTTTTGTTTGCTGGATCACTCATAAAAAATAACAAAGCAATTCATGAAGCTCTAATGGAAGCAATGACAAAGAAGGCAAGTGTAGTAGAGTGCGTCGAAGCAATTGAGAATGCTGCATAGTTCCACTTAGATTGCCTACAGTTTTTTGAAAAATTGGATAACTTAAAATGTTATGCCTTTTGTCCAACCACGCAACAATGAATTTATTATATGTAAACAAAGTTTCATAAGGCTATTTTGTGTGTTGATTACCAACACAATTCAAATTACAATATTTGGATTTGATAGATGTACAGATAACGTGGTATGACTATCCTAACTAAAACTCTTATTTTCGATATAACTAATTCCTAGTACTTTTTTGACTATGACTAAATACATAAGCTTCATGCCCTTTCACTTAAATTCAAAAGCAAATGACAAACTACTGAAGCCCACTCAGTTGCCATTTCCAAACAATAAGATACACAGCAAAAACATATGTATGAACAAATAACCAGATTTCAAGATTAATAAATGAGAAGAACCTTTATTTTATTGACATAAAATATTAGTACAAAATCTTGCATCAACTGAGGCAAGTGATTATTTGATGAATGTAAAACCATTGTACAAAATTTATCTCATACGACAGCTGACATGGCAGACCAACAATCAAATGTAGCCACTTCGAAAGTTCACAGAGTTCTTACTTTACAGCCGCCCATACATTGAAAGCATATCTCTTAGTTTCTTAGCCTGTGTCTCCAAGCTATCAAAAGTCATGGAATTTGGTATCCTCCAACCCCAGTTTCCAAACTGTATCATACAAAAGAAACAGAGCATCAAATTTCAGTTACATATGTTGAGAGGAAATGAATACTTGAAAGATTATTAGGCAAGCCCATAAATTATATTCTCTTGAAGCCCTTCCCTCTATAAGAAGCACTTTTATTCTTTCATTTTTTAATTTATTTTTTTGGATAAGCAAAAATATGGTATATCTGCATAAGGCTAAAAGAAAGACTGGGGTCTATCTATCTGGGTTGAGCAAAACAATTAAACCACGCATAAATTTTAAATTGGACCAAGAAATTTTTAAGTGGATCTATTCTCTAAATCTAATCAAAACAGATTTGGACGGAAACAAGCAATTTTAGTCGTTTGGCACAACGGATCATCATCTTGTTTGCATCCATGTATATCTTTTACCTGAGTTGCTGGAATGTTCATCCGTGCAGAATTCCCCAGCCCAAGTATATCTTGCATGGGTACGACTGCAGTTTGGGCCACAGAAGATACAGCAGCCCGGATGAGTGCCCAGGGTATGTCATCTTCTTCAGTTAAAGAAAGATATTTCAGTACCTGCAACAACAATTATATTGTAATAAACTGCAAAAAGAGACTTCAAATGTTAATTAAAGAGCCGAATTATTGAAAAGAAAAGATTGCACTCACATTATTCTTCTCTTCCTGCTTCAGATTGTCCTGCTTCAGATTGTCCCACCAACCTCGGATCTATGATAAAACATGATAACTGTTACTGGAAAAAAAAATGGAAAAGAAAAGAAATGTTTTTTACTTTTTATTCATTACTTTATCACAATTTTTCATATTTGTTATAAGGAAAATAAGAAATGCTTTTTCATTTTTAGAAATTGTTTTCAGATTACGCATTTCAAATTTTTTGAAACGGAATCTTTGGTATTTGTAATAATAAAATACTTTGAATTTCTTGATCAGCAAGTTGAGATGGCCGAGTTGGTCTAAGGCGCCAGATTAAGGTTCTGGTCCGAAAGGGCGTGGGTTCAAATCCCACTCTCAACATAATTTTTTTCAGTCCCGAGGTTTTGTATTAAGATCATTTAAGCCCACTCTCACAACACTTATCTAGGTACTCTGCGGATCAATTTCCTTCCTATAAATTTGATAAAACACTCAAACCCCCCCTTACAATGGTCATACATCTCTTGTCCTCCCTCAAATTTTGATAAACACTCAAACTCACCCCCCATAAATTATAATGGTCATTTTTTTGAAAACCCTAATAAGTTTTTTCAATCTGATTGGTAAATTAGTTGAACCCAAAGCTTCTAAGAAGTAATATACTCGCCCAAAAATTTCCAACAGTGAATCTAATTGTTTAATTTTGATTTAGTCCACACGATTTAACGACGGTTTGCAACATATTAAAAATTTAAAGTAATATAAGTTTGAGATGGATTCCATTTCCTCCCTTAAAATTTGACTAATACTTAAACTCCCCCTTGCAATGATCATTTTGCCTCTTAAATTCCTCCAAATTTTTATAAATACTCAAACTCCCCTCTACAATGGTCATTTTTTTTTGTCTTTCAACATAACACTAACACTTATCAATCCTATTTGTTTAATCCATAGCTTCTAAAAAGTGACATACTCGCCCAAATTTTCTAACACTAAATCTATTGGTTAATTTTGTGTAGCCCATAAGTTCTGAAAAGTGACAGTATTGTCCCGAATGTTTTTATTACTTGGGTCAAAATTGGAGTGATGTGTTACAATCTAAATCTTACAAATCAAATAACTAACAACTGATCCTGGCGCCCCAAACCCAACGACCTTATCTCTTCTTCATTCATTCTTCCTCTTGGCCACAAACAAAATCTTTCCCTGTAAGAGCAATCTCAAACTGTAACCCAAAAAATATAAAACAAAACAAAACAAAACAAAACAAATTTATTATTGTTCACCATGAACATGATTCTTCATCTCTCAAAGCCAGCTACATTGACTGCATTGCACCATCAATGTAAATATAAAAACTCCTTCAAGCTCCCACAAATCAAAGCTTCTTCATTTTCTGCTGCACCTGGGGTTGATCTCAACACCCTTCAATCTTCCGTCAGGAAGGTTTGTAATTTCTTCTCTCATCTTTTTATATAGAGCGCTCAATATTAGTGTTGAGTGTCGAATGGTTACTTAACATAATATCAGAGTAAGAGATTGTGAATCTGAGTTTCCTGCACTCCTTGTATCTGTGTTGTGTTGTAGAAAGACAGTAATGCAGTTAAGGAGGCGCTTGATCAGCTGAGTGAAGAGGGATGGGCCAAGAAATGGAGTTCTCAGCCGTATGTCTCGCGCCGTACGGTCAGTCTCAATTAAAAAGAGTATGAAGTTCTGGGAAACTGCCACTGAAACATTAGCAATCTTGCAAACCTTTTGCATACATGTACATCAATGATGTTTTGAATAACTATCTTAGTTCTGTGTCGAAATGTTCGAAAATTAGGTCGTTTGACTCTTGAATTTATCGTGAACCAGACATCTCTCCGCGAGCTGACATCTCTCGGAATAAAAAATGCAGAGAACCTCGCAATTCCTAGTGTCAGAAATGATGTAAGTACACTCCATCCGCGTAAAGTTATGTGACATTTTCTTGTTTTGATAGAATTTTATCGTTGAATTATCAGAGGGCTGTTCATATGTTTGATGGCTTTCAGTGATACAGGCAGCTTTTCTTTTCACAGTGGTGGGAACAACAGGATTTCTGGGTGTTCTTGCTGGCCAACTTCCTGGGGTAACTCTTATTTTTCTCTTCTTCCGAAAAACTGAGAATTCCCTCAACCATGTCACTGTTACTTTTAAAGTAACAGATATTAGAAATTTGCGACGATTTCTGATCTCTATTCACCTGTTATACTGTCTGTGTAGGACTGGGGGTTCTTTGTGCCATACTTAATCGGTAGCATTTCTCTGATAGTCTTGGCTGTGGGGAGCATTTCACCAGGGTAAAAAACATAAAATTTATGTTGTATCCTAGAGTCTTATATTTGATGTTTAAATTTCTAAGTTCTCTTAAATTGCTGCACAGGCTTCTTCAAGCTGCAATTCAAGGGTTTTCATCGTTTTTCCCGGACTATCAGGAGAGGGTCGCAAGACATGAGGCGGGGCATTTCTTAAGTACTCCCGTTATCTTCGACAATGCATCGAAACATGATGACCTGCCTCATTTGGTTGCTTTCTAACTAGATGATGTTCTCTTTCAATTGTAGTTGCCTATCTGCTTGGCCTTCCTATTCTGGGTTATTCTCTGGATATTGGGAAAGAGAATGTCAATCTTATCGATGAAAGGCTGGAAAAACTTATATATAGTGGGCAGCTTGATGCTAAGGAACTTGACAGGTATCCATTTGATTGCTTTGGCTACTTTCATACTATTCTGAAAAATGGTCTTTGAACTATGAATTTGTTCTATTCATATCCCAACCAGTGTGAGAAACTTAGTTTACAGGTCTACTCTACTTAATATTAGTGTCAAATCCTTTACCTAATAACTATCGATCTGTTGTAACTTTTCCCAGGTTGGCAGTTGTAGCAATGGCCGGACTTGCTGCAGAAGGTCTGCAATATGACAAAGTCATCGGTCAATCTGCAGATCTTTTCACTCTTCAGGTTTTCAAATTTCAACCATTCACTTAAGATCAAGCTTCTATCAGACATTACTTGATATCTCTTCAAAAACAAATTGACAATTTATTTTTACAGAGATTTATCAATAGAAGCAAACCACAGCTTAGCAAAGACCAGCAACAGAATCTTACCAGATGGGCTGTAAGTTCCAGTTCCTCAAAACTCATGGCTCTGCAAACTTGACATATGCTAATGTAGAATGCTCATAATTTATGCAGGTTTTGTTTGCTGGATCACTCATAAAAAATAACAAAGCAATTCATGAAGCTCTAATGGAAGCAATGACAAAGAAGGCAAGTGTAGTAGAGTGCATCGAAGCAATTGAGAATGCTGCATAGTTCCACTTAGATTGCCTACAGTTTTTTTGAAAAATTGGATAACTTAAAATGTTATGCCTTTTGTCCAACCAGGCCACAATGAATTTATTATATGTAAACAAAGTTTCATAAGGCTATTTTGTGTGTTGATTACCAACACAATTCAAATTACAATATTTGGATTTGATAGATGTACAGATAACGTGGTATGACTATCCTAACTAAAACTCTTATTTTCGATATAACTAATTCCTAGTACTTTTTTGACTATGACTAAATACATAAGCTTCATGCCCTTTCACTTACATTCAAAAGCAAATGACAAACTACTGAAGCCCACTCAGTTGCCATTTCCAAACAATAAGATAAACAGCAAAAACATATGTATGAACAAATAATCAGATTTCAAGATTAATAAATGAGAAGAACCTTTATTTTATGGACATAAAATATTAGTACAAAATCTTGCATCAACCGAGGCAAGTGATTATTTGATGAATGTAAAACCATTGTACAAAATTTATCTCATACGACAACTGACATGGCTGACCAACAATCAAATGTAGCCACTTCGAAAGTTCACAG